ATTGATCAACTTTTTACTTCAAAGTTGCTTGATTAAAAATTTGATTGGATAAAAGATCATTATTTTGTAAGCTTGTAATTTGAAAAGTTTGAAAAGTTAAAGAGCTTCTTATATATCAAAATTAAGCCTGAAACAATTTATAAAGATTTGGCAACGATTTGATTCGATCGAGTTTTGGTTCAAGATGGATTAAAGCTAAAGTTGAAAGCTGTTTGGTTGTTGTTTTGTTGTTTGTTGTTGGTTGTTGTTGTTGGTTATTGAAAAGGTTGTTTAAACCTTTTCAATTTTCAAACCTTTTCACATAGCTCATCTCAATTACCCCAAAAAAACAATCATTCAAACAAAGCTAAAGATCAGAAACCTTTCCCCAACTTGTAACATTTGATTCTCTCGAAATCCCAGAGCTTATTATTAATCCACATCGAAATGAGAGTAGTGTGAACTCTCAAGGGGGAAAAGAAAGCGATTAGGCAAACTCATTCAATGATATGTCTACGGTAATTTAGATGATCGAAGAACGAAACCCTGGCAACGGGAGAAGGGTGGATAGAACAAGAACACAAGAATGAGGACAAGAAACACGAAAACAGAGATTCGGAATTGGGAAAGGGGTGGGGAAGGTTGGGTTGAGGGGCCCTAGGACGCTGGAGAGCTGGCGAGTGTTCCGAGCTCCTCACTCTCACTCATGTGTGCAAGAGACGAGCAACGACCAGGCACACACCCACGTCATCACCTCCCCCTTGTCCCCTTTTCTCTGTATCTGCAAATATGATTAGAGAATGAGTGTTGGAGATAAAGATTGTCTTTGCCGACCTCTTCATTCCATTTATGGTTGTGATTATGAAATAGAAAACGGTTATGGTGAGGTCAAAATAACAAAGTCAAAATTTGCTTTGAGGAAACTAAAAACTTGTTGGTATGTGATCAAAAATGGATTTGAAAAAGAATGCCTATAAAGGAAGTGAAAAGATTTAGCTATAGAAAATAAAAAATGAAATAATAGTCTTTATTCCTATGTATTAGGTTGATGCAAAAGTCTTTTTCATTTTTTTCGTACTTCTTTTGAAAAATAACAAAGTCATCAATTAACCTATGGTTTCCTCTAAATGAAAAGTGTTTATTGTTCAATTTCCCATCTTTTTAAGTCAATTTGGGTTCACTTTCAAGCAAATTCGAGAGTGAAAACGGGTTTTTCATAAAAATCTATAAAAACCTCTATAAAGAAATTGGCTGAATCAATTTCTCTGAAAATCTGAAAAAATATCGAACTTTTTGTGCTCTATCTTTTATTTATTAACATCAAGATTGGTTTCCTTAGCTAAAGCGTCTAAAATGCATCATCGAGCCGTTGCCTTTTTTGACTACCCGACTTCAGGCTCTCAAAAAAATCTAGACATAAGACATTTTAAACTCGTTTTAATGTCATTTTGCAGAAAAATAATTGGCCTTTCGAATGCAATAAACCGTTGTTCAATTGGTGCATTTGTTACTTTTTAACGGAAGTACGAAAAAAATGAAAAAGACTTTTGCATCAACCTAATAAATGTCATATAAAACAATGTTTTTTGTTTTGTTTTTTCGAAACAAAAATCCAACTAGCTGTTATTGAACTGATAAATTGAGGGAAAAATTAAAGGAAATGAAAAAAAAGGGCTATAAAGAAGGTACATAAATAGGCTACATAATATAAAGGTAAACCTTAGCTTTAGACTTTAAAGTATCTTTAAGATTTTGTGATAAGTTAAAGTTTTAGCTCGATATTCTTTTTGAAATCAATGTCGTTCTATTCTGGATTATCAACCAGTAACAAGAGAGGGGAATTTTGGGAGAAGAATAGGTATATAACCGAGGATTTATTGGGTAAATGCATATGAAATGGCTAATCTATTTAAATTTCTCCTTCAGATCTCTATCTAATTTCGGTTTGGTTAGAATAAAAAGCTTTAATCTTAAGCTAATAACATCTTAAGCTTTCTTTTATTTGACATGAGAGGAGGGAAAATCATTGACATTCATTGACAATCATTGACATTCATTGACATTCATTGACAATCATTGACATTCATTGACAATCATTGACATTCATTGACAATCATTGACATTCATTGACAATCATTGACATTCATTGACAATCATTGACATTCATTGACAATCATTGACATTCATTGACAATCATTGACATTCATTGACATTCATTGACAATCATTGACAATCATTGACATTCATTGACAATCATTGACATTCATTGACAATCATTGACATTCATTGACAATCATTGACACCAGAGGAAAATTTTGTAAGAAGACAAACATCAGCTTTCAAAAAGTTCTTTTATCATTTGTTGCTAGTGAAAAGTTATGTAATAATTAGCTTTTTGACTTAAGCTATGAAATTTTTCAGCTATGAAACAAAAAATCTCAAACAATCATGATTTTTAAATAGAAATCTTTGAATAGAATGATGTTGATTTCAAAAAAATACCGAGCTAAAACTTTGGCTCAAAAGAAAATTGAAGTTGAGTTGATTTCAAAGAGTATTTATTTAGTAAAAGAGTATTTACCTAATAAATCCTCGGTTATATGCCTACTCTTCTTGCAAAATTTCCCTCTCGTGTTGCTCGTCGATCTCTATCATCCATGTCAAATAAAGGAAAGCTTTTCATCTTTTCAAAAAGATGTTATTAGCTTAAGATTATAGCTTTTCATTCTAACCAAAGAGAAATTTGATCGAGATCTGAAGGAGAAATTTGCATGGATTAGCCATTTCATATGCATTTACCCAATAAATCCTCGGTTATATACCTACTCTTCCAAAATTTCCCTCTCTTGTTGCTCGTTGATCATCCAGTGTCCAAATGACTACAAATGCAAAATCAACAGATTACTCTCTTTGGAAATTCGGAAAACAAAATCTTCATACATCAATGCGAAAGAAAGTTCATCTGAAATCCGATTCCGGGGGTAATCATATGAACAAACAAATCGTCACAAACAAATTTTTGGCTTATAAGTTGGAATGATTAAATGAAATTTGAGCCTTGTCATGCGTTTATCGATTTTTAATAGACTCAATTTTAAGAGACGACATTGGGTTGAGGAGAATGAAATAGCGCTGAAAATTAAAGAAATTTCTAAAACTTCTAAAAGATTAATATGGCAAAATTTTGTCAAATAATACGCTTTTGATATCCAAAAGAAAGGTTAACTAATTCTCCACAAAATGGCATTTTAAAAGAGAACTCAAACAGCGTCTCGGCTCAACAAAAGGCTATTTTTTTTCACAAAATCTATAAACTGTCATCTAGAGAAAATGGTTAGAGGGATTTTTCTGAAAATTTAGCAACTTATGTAATTGAGTGTGCTCTATCTTTTTTATTTTAAACATCAAAGGAGGTTTATGTGGAAGAAACTGCTCAAAGCTAGCTGTTTGCCATTTTGACTCGTTGTCTTTGGGAGTCTCCACAAAAGAAAAGCTTTTAAAAGTCATTTGGTAGAGAAATAGTGAGTCCTTTTTATGAAACAAAGCATGTATTTAAAGAAGACTTTATGCGTGCAAAAAGTGTTAAAGTTCGCTATACGCTATACGCTATACGCTATACGCTATACGCTGTACGCTATACGCTGTACGCTGTACGCTGTACGCTATACGCTGTACGCTGTACGCTATACGCTGTACGCTGTACGCTATACGCTGTACGCTATACGCTGTACGCTGTACGCTATACGCTATACGCCGTACGCTGTACGCTATACGCTGTACGCTGTACGCTGTACGCTGTACGCTGTACGCTGTACGCTGTACGCTGTACGCTGTACGCTGTACGCTGTACGCTGTACGCTGTACGCTGTACGCTGTACGCTGTACGCTGTACGCTTAGGCTTAGGCTTGGACTTAGGCTTGGACTTAGTGCGAAGGCTAGCGGCTAGCGCCTAGCACTAAGTCTATTTGGATTTGGGCTGAACCCCCATTTTCTGGATCTCAGCCAGTTCCCGGAGCTAAGGCACACCCGCTTGGCAATGCTCATGTTAGGCTTAGGGCTTCAAAATAAATACGATCGATATGAACTAAATAAAATTTACATAAAACCGTTATTGTTAGGCTCAAAAAAAGTAACTCAAACTTTCTTATGACACAATTTTTTCTAATTGTAAGTTGAAAAGTTAAATGCAGGATTTTTTTATTTGTTCTGCTTCAGTTTCCAAGCATAATTTCTATACAATTTCCGATTTGCATTCGAATTCTTGAAGTCACAAAAGCTTTCACTCCTTTTCCCTGACATTTTTTGATCGGGTACAATCGACTAATCATTTTTGATGTACTTTTGATCTCACACTGCCGAAAAGTCCTCCACACTCCAAAAAACAAAAAAAACAAAGTTCATCAAAAACAATCATTTGAAAAGTGCTAGCGATTTGCGTAGCCTACACTATCTAATCTGTTCTTTGACTTTTTGCCGGCGAATGATCCACCCACAAGGATTTGCAATTAGGTAAAGTCTCAAACATTACGAGATTTGGAGCTTTGAGCCAGGCTAGCGGATATTCGTAAACATTGGCTGTCTAGTGCACGTAATTTCTTATCTTTTAAGCTGCAAAAGAGGTCATTTCTCTCTACAAAGAAGCTAGAGTGATTGCTAACGAGAGGAAAACTTGCAATACTGGTACAAGGCTGATAAAGCAGTTATAAGAGAAAAGGGAACGGTTTTTAAGGACTAAAAGTAAAGTATGATGAAATGAAAGCGCAAAAAACAAAGATTTTTGGTGAAATTTGATCACTAAACAGTAAAATTAGACAGTAAAAGTCGGAAAAACATAGAAATTGAGCAAAAAAAAACAAAAAAGAACAGAACCAGTAAGCTTTTGATTCTTCAAACATTCTGTCACTTCTGGTTTTTCATCTACAAATGCCAGAAGATTTTCTTTGCTTACAAGAAACGCGTATGCACATGGCATAAACAATAAACAAGCTGAGCATAAGATAAAAAATCTAAAACAACTCACTATGAACGAGGGAAGAGTGTGCGTCGTTTGCGGCAATCGCTCGTGGCGAAGCCAGGGCGGAGGCGAGCCACGATCGACGGTCCAGTCTGTGACTTTCACTCTCTTTCAATCGTTTAGAGTAAAAAAAAGCGTAGAGAAATGTTTCGACTTTCGAATGGCACCTGAAAGAATGACTAGCATTAACAGAGTTAAAACTACAATATCTACCATTTTCTAATGGAAGCCCCCTATAGGAGCGTCGTGTAGTCGAAGTTTTTCCTCTCAAACAAACGCTCAAATCTTGACATCAGTACGTTTCTTTCTGCGCGCTTAGGTATCAAATTAAAGTAGAGAAAATGCGTGATTTTTTGAGATATAAAAGATATTTTTAGCATTAACCAGCGCTTAGAAAAAAATGATTGGAAAGTGGCAAAAAAAAAGTTGATTTTGCATCATTTTTTGGCTATTGTTGCTTAAAGCTTAGCCAACAAATAGAAATTTTCAGTTTCTTTTACTTTTTTATAGACTTTGACTTCAGATTATCCTCGCATCCTTACCTTTATTGTCTTTTAACGTGCCAAATTTCAGCAGCTTTTAAAACCTTCTCAATTCTCGCACAGAAATCTCGCACTTTTCTTCCCGTCTATCGCTTGGCCACCTAAAAGAAACACCGATAATCAAATACAATTATATAAAATCAAAAGTAGAACAGTAAAGAGTTTAAAGTTTATAAAGTAATCGAGTAATCTCGTCACGAGAATTTTGAGCACAAATAAAAATCAGAATTTTTCACAAGCAAAAATCACTCGAAAATTTCAAAATTCACTATAAAGTCGATTTTTTAGATCGAAATTTTCAATAAATGGATTCATTTCTGAATTTGTCCACGCCTATTGTCCATTTTTTTTTTGTAAAATTCATTTCCGATCACCCAAAAAACAGCTAAATTATTGGAAAAATGCACAAACAGGACACTCTTTCTCTGGCTAATGGATACCGTATTCTCTCTAATAGTAGTGCACCCGGCCGAGCCGAGTTGATGACTATTTACAACTTCCAACGTTTTCCCAGAAGCCCAACTCAAATCCCCCACTAGATCTCATTGTCAGCTACATTTTCCGACCCCACATCGATAGGTTCTGATAAGCGCTTTTCGAGATTTCGAGGAATTTAGGCAAAGCTTTGGGTGCACTACTATTAGAGAAATTATATTTAAAGGGAACATGAGTACCAAAAATAAATTGAGGGCCATTTATTTGAGCTCTGAAGATAAAAAAATATAATATACATTTTAAAAAAACAGATAAAAACGCATAGAAGAATAAAAGACGACCATGCTTTGCCTACTTCTTTGACTTCTTGCGCCACTATTAGAGAGAATACAGTATCTGATAAGTGATAAGCTAACTCATATCTCTTTAAGTCTAGTTTATCTTGGCGTTAAGCTAACGATACTTCACTTAACTTGTTTCTGATAAGCGCTTTTCGAGATTTCGAGGAATTTAGGCAACGTTCTTGGCGCACTACTAGTAAAGAGAATACGGTATTTGTGAAAGACGTGTGCCAAAGAAGGTGTGTTTCAACGTTTCAAGCTCAAATTACACTACAAAGGCACACTTTTTGACAAACATTGAATGAATTCAGATAATTTGCATTGAAAGCTAGCTGCGAAACAAATTTCCTGCACTATTTCCCGTCCAATTTTCCATTTGACTCAAAAAGTCGCCCCCACAAAGCAATAAAATATGAGCAAAAAGGTCAAACAGGTATCAAGTCTTGAAAAATATACTGAATGACAAAATTTTATCAAATTTTCGTTTTCTTTTCATTCTTGATTCATTTTTCGAAACGATTTGAGAGAAAAAAAAAGGAAATTTCGCGAACCGAACACCTCTAAAATGATGGATTTGAGATGATTGAAGGAGAATCGATTTCAAGAAAAATGACAAAATATTTAGAGAAATCAAAGAAAAACAGAAAAAGTATAGGACTTGCAACAAGTCATGTAATAGATTAAAGACCATGACGTGTTTAGAAAGCGTTGCCAAATTGCGATTTTGAGTTGGATGGGCTTGAAACTAATAGTATATTTTCTAGAAAAGCCCACTTTTTGATATTCTTTGTGGAAAACTCTATAAATAGTTCGTTACTGTTACTGAGATTCCAACGACAGACTTGCAGAGGAAACTTGTAACTGAAGCTCTTATTTCAAAAGGAAACTTATAGATGCTGGACTCCTCCGAAGCTTACTTTTAAAATAAACGGGCTCTTCTAACAATCACTGTCCCGGGATGACCAGGGAACTGGCCAGGGACTGACTCAACAATTACTGTCCCCGTGACCAGGGAGCCATTTGAAGTTACATTTCAAAGGATTCGAACTAAGGACAAAAAGTGCGTTGCGCTAGCGCACTATTGACTAGGCTATCGAGGCACATCCATAGATCGGTGCCAAGGTTTTAAGTAGGCTAGCTTGTTGTTTAGCAAAATTGGCCGAAACTGGCTTATATCTCAAGAAAAAATTGGCTTATATCTCAAGAACGGCTTATGATAAATATGATTTGAAAGCAGTTTCGGGCCATTAACCAGGCGATGTTTGCGGAATCAGATCGCTCCTGAAATGTAACTTCAAAAGGTTTCCTGGTGAGACTAGATCACACTTTTCGCAGTCCAATTACTAAAACTGGATTTGAGTCAAAAAAAACTGAGTTTGAGTTTAGAAACGGTTTAGAAAACAGTTTTCCTAGTCTCTGCAGGAATTTTGTGCATTCTATTGATTTTATTTTTTTAGGGATAAATCATTGCAAATCGCCAAAAGATTTAGACAAGAGATAGCAGAACGAGAAGTGAGAAATGAGGAGAAATGAGGCAAATACGAAAAAATAGAGCAAGCTTTGATTTTTGATTAGTAAAAGTTAGATTTAGCTTAAAATTGTGTAAAGTAAAATGAAGAAAACTACGATAGCTAAAGAAATTTGGCATTTTTTTTCTTAGAAAACTATCAATTATCTTTAGCTCACATAATGAAAACTCGAGTAACTAGCACGAGAAAAAAAGGGCCAAGGTCGATTAGCTGAACATCCAAGAGCAAAGCAATTTATTAGAGGTGGGAAAAGAGAGAGAAAAAAAGGGGTGGTGAGGTGGCAATAAGTGTCTGCTCGTCCTTTAAACCCTCGTCCACTCCTCCATTCCTCCGCTGTCCATTCACTCTCCCACAGAGCAAGGGAATGAATCCAAGAAAGTCACGTATAAAGAATTGGTACCTGGATTTAGATAAACTATTAGAATTTATGCTTGGATTAGACTTTAAAACAGCTCAATGAATGTTTAAAAATTTGTTATCTATTCCCAGAATCTAATGTTTTAATAAAGAGATTTTTCTGCTACAAAGCTGACAAAGCTACATCCAACTTTTTTTGCCATTCTGCTCAAAAAGTAATGTCATTTTTTTTTCTATCAGCCCTAGCTTTCCGGTTGGTTATAGTGAGCAGCTCATAAAAAAAACCCCCAAATCAACTGGTCAATTAAAAGAGTTGACTGAAAGATTTGTTAGGAATTCAAATTCGAAATCCTCGCACGCCTAAGCAGTATTGTCGTAGAATTTTGGCTTCCTTTAAGAGAGCCGTTATATTACATAAATGTTATATTATGTTACGTTATATTACGTTATATTACATATATTACATATTGTCCGAATCCAAAATCTACAAAAATCTCCATTAAAAACCACATAACAAGCAAAAAAAACTCGAGAGGTAAATGAGGACGGAACAGGCACAAAAAAGGGCAGCGAAGGGTCGAAACGCGGGGGAAAATTTTCCACCCGTGTCCGTTGAAAAGAGAGAGAGAGAAAAAGACTGAGTTTTCTCGGTTTCTTTTTTTCGGGGAAGCGCCTCGAATCGATCGAGGGAATTCCCGAGCAATGGGGAAATGAAAGAAAAAAGAGGAAATGGAGAAAGGGAAATGGAAAAGGAGAAAGCGGGCGGAACACAAGCAATGCACTTGTTGCCAGAAACCGCTTCCCATGTGAGTGAACTGATAGAGAAGAAATAAACGAGGTCAACACTGCCTAGAAAATGTTTTTGTTGGTCTAAACATTAACTTGACATATGAGTTTTGTGCAGTTAATCCGTGATAAGTTTATTTACTAACACTGCAGTACTCTGTTTACTGAATTCTCGCTTGGGATAAGATTTAACAGTGTTGCAAAATCAAAATCACAACTTTCGATTGCAATTTTTAAAACATACAAACGCTTTTATTTGACCAGTTGTGGGTGAAAATCCAATATCTTCATTGGGCAAGCAGTTTCAGGAAGTGACACTTACTCGAAGAGGATTCCCTCACGAAGCCGGCAAAGAACAGAGCCTCAACTACAGACCCCAATTTTATATTGCAGTAAAATTGTCTTTCGAAATCGAAAACTTTATCGCAATAACAACAAAAAGTGACAACAAAGCTCCTTTTAAAGTAACTAAACATAACAACGTAGATCACTCGAAATATAGCCAGCGATTAGCCAGGTGGCAACAGTTACGAAAAATTATAACAAAACACAACAAAAAGCAGTCCATTCGCACTAAAATCTTCGCATATCCTCGACAAGAGTTGAACTCCCTTCCTTGCGGGCGTTCTTCAGCCATAGCTCGTTGCATTCGTGATCAGCCGGCAAAACGGGAGGCTCCAGCTAAAAATTCCAGTCATGTAACAAATATCAAAACAGTTAATTTGAATTTAAAATGATTTCTTTAAAAAGATACATTTATTGAACACCATCTAACTTCAATGAAAAACCTTCAAACTTACACGACTGTAATTGATGCCGGCGATGAATCGAATGCACGGGGGCTTCTCTGCACGTTAGTCGCTTTGATGGATCTAGAGTCAACATCTTGTCGATTAAATCAGCGGCACCTTCCGGAATCCATCTAAACATTTTAATGAGGATAGCTCACAATTTCCGCTGCCTATAATCAACGCTTACTTTTGAATATTTGCCCTCAATCGTCTCTCAAAGTGTTGCTTCGGAACCATATTGTAGGATGGAAGAAGAGTTACACCTGGCCACACCCTTGAGATCATCGAGCCGCACACCTAAAACAAAACAAAACAACCTTTGAAATTTCATCGAGCTGTACTTTCTCGGACTTTCCACGGAACAAGGGTTCGTGCGAAAAAAACTCGAAGAGGATGCAGCTAAACAAAGTCAAAAAAGAGCTTACTCGGCACTCCAAATATCTATACTAGGCCCATAATTTTCTTCACCAAGCAACAATTCGGGAGAACGGTACCATAAAGTGACTACCTAAAGAGACGTTGCACAGAAAACAGGAAAACTCTTACTTGTTTCGTGTATGGGCGCGTGTTCTCCGGATCAATTTGCCGCGCTAATCCAAAATCTGCCAACTTGAGAATGCCCCTAAACACATTATTGAACACCTGGTTGTTAAATAGCTTTACCCACCTATTGCTTAAAAGAATATTCGATGGCTTTAGGTCTCGGTGTACGACTTTATGCTCATGACAGTATAATAATCCCTAAAAGCTAATATTTATACAAGAGTTGTATGCAACAAACTTCTAACAATTGCTGCCGCTTGGATGAAGTTAAGTTGCAAATAGTCAGATTCGAGTAGCCCTTTCAAATCATGTTCCACGTACTCGAAGACCAAGAAAATTTCGCCTAGAAACAAAGAATAATAAGTGCTTCACCAGAAAAACAAACTTTCTGGATTCCTAATATTTTGGTTTGAGTCCGTGGCCACATCGAGTAATTGCACCACATTTCGATGGTTCAACAAGCGCAAAGTCTAAACAACAGTCAAGTCAGGATGGCATTAAAAGACCTTACCTTAATCTCCCGAATCGCACTCAGTGGAAATCCTTGCTTCTCTCCTTCAAGTGACAAATTTTTGATGGCCACTTCACGCCCTAGAAGTTTTTAGAATTTGAAACTTTTTCAACTAGATCTAGATAAACTCTATTAACGATGTCGTCACGATTTAACAGTTTTGTAGAAATACACCTCAAAATCCCTACCAGTGTCCCGGTGACGTCCTTTGAACACTTTTCCATAAGATCCAGAGCCGATTTCATTCTTCAGGTCATACTGCTCGATAAATCCAGAAAACCGTTGCGAATTCAAAGGCCTTGGATCATCTTGGACCTTGGCCGAATTCGACTTTTTGTTGAGTAGAAGAGTGGCGCGTGATCTAATGGCTCGCTTTGTGGCTGAATGGAAGAGCCGTTGACCCAAAATAATCCGTATTCGTAAGCTTTTATTAGGTAATTCTTAAGTCGCAGTGCTATCAATATTTATCGTACCAGTTTCATCCGAGATTGAACAAACGTCTCATTTCCGAGAATCTGATCGACGAGTCGCACTTCTGGTTTCTGTGTCTTCTTGGGGATTCGAAAAGGCACTGGTTTTTGGGCGGTTTCACACTTCGGCTCTTCTAAAGAAAATGTAATTGACAAGTCAACCTTCATAATACCAACCGCTTGATTTGGCCTTTGAATTCTCGGTCACTTGGCTCGCCACTTCTATCAACTCAGAAATCGGAGTTGACGGTGATTTTTTGACGGTGATATAGACTTGCTAGAAAACAAAAACTATTTTTATTTTTACATCGTTAAATCCCCGCCGCAAAACAATCTCGAAGTAACTTCCTATTCGATAAACATATCTTGCTAGTTCATAAAAAGCGTCAAACAAAGGAGGCAGATTACAGAGCTCTCTTTTGTTCAAAATGGAAAAATACCGCAGTCACGGATACTTCAATAGTAAGTACCACTTTTAAAATCAACATTCAATAAAACCCAACCTTTGCCGTTCAATATGTTGTGGCTCTTGTTTCCTTGCTTGACTTCTCCAGGGTTGACTGTTCGCACGATAGTTTCTGTAGTCTCCTTTTCCATGCATTCGATAGCCATCATGATGGGTTGAATGTCCTTGATCTCCGTGTCTTCTCGAGTTATCATCATTTCTGTGTGGCGTGAAATCTTCCGGGTGATTCAGAGTGTTGCTCCGTTCATTGCCATAGGGACGTCGTTCACCACTTGCTTCACTCCGTCGACCATCCTTTTTCGTGTGACCCGGTTCTCCACATCGAAAGCATATCGTCGGCATCTAAATGAAACAAATTATTTTAAAGAAATGAAAAACTGCAAACAAAAAACACTGCAATACACAATTCTAATCGGCTAACGCATAGACTTTGACAAACGCATAGACTAAAAAGCACTTATGTCGGTAGTTCGACAACTTAAAGTTCAGCCACATCTTTGCAAAGAACAAAACGACGGCGACACCGGATGCTATTGTGGTATTCAGGGGAGTTGGGACAAATTGAAAACTCAAAAGCAACTGCAATTTTTCAATCGAGTTATGTCAATATGCCAATCATTCATATCAGCTGGCTGACAATCTACAGGGTGTCTCAAAAAGGTCCCTTTTCAAACCGAATTTTAGAAAAACTTTAAGTGGCTATTCCTGGTGCCAAAACTGTTTTGGCCAAAAATGGCAGAGGCTTTGTCTAGCAGTCTAACTGCTAACTATGTGAGTTAGCAGTTTGACGAAATTAGCCAAAACTTTGCACGCTTATATCTCGAATACTAGGACCCATCAGCAAAAAATAAAAAAGACGTGTATCTTAGAATTCTACGGGGGCGTTTTTTATTAGGTTGGTGGGAAAATAATCGAAATTTGGAGCCTCTAACTTCAAGTGCAAAACTAAAAGCCAATAACAAATGGATTTATTCAAAGTAAAAACTATGAGCATCTATACACTGCTGCCAACGCGAAACAAGTTTTCCAATTCCATCAGAATAGAAATTTGGCGTTCTCGAGTCGATAAACTGCTGGAAAGCGTTTTCGGTCTCGCTTTGATTCTTGTACTGTTTATCTTCCAGAAAATGACACAGATGCTTCAAAAAGTGGAAATCCGTAGGAGAAAGATCTGGTGAGTAAGGTGGGTGACTAAGAATTTCGTTGCCCAGCTCGCTCAATTTTGTGATGGTATTGGTTGCAATGTGCGGGCGAGCGTTGTCGTGAAGCAAGACAGGGCCTTTCCGATTCACCAAACCTGGATCCAAAATTGTTAATTTTGTATGCATTTTTTCTATTTCCAAAATATATTGGTCCGAACTCATAGAATTTCCTGTTTTCAAGAAAGAAAAACTTTTTTTGATGAATCTCTAGCTTTGCAGTCCGCTTGAGCTTTTCATCTTTGCTGAGCCATTCGGATCTTCCTTTTCTGTTGTCGTATAGGATCCATTTTTCGTCACACGTGACAATCCGATTCAGAAATGGATCTTTTTCATTTCGAGTTAGAAGCATCGAGGCGGCTGTCAGACGTTACAGCCTCTGCGAGCCGCTTAATTCGTGCGGGACCATTGCTCCATCTTCTTTACCTTTCCGATTGATTTCAAATGATCCAAAATTGTTGAATGATCAACCTGAAGGTCCTGTGCGTATTCTCGAGATGTTTTGGTCGAATCTCCTTCCACCAGTTTTTCCAATTCTTCATCGTCAACTCTGGAAGGCCTTCCTTGACGTTCTTTGTCATGAAACGTCTCATCGCCCGAGTGAAATCGCCGAAACCAAAAAGCGACCATACCATAAGAAACACTTCCCTTGCCAAATGCCCTGTTGATATTACCAGTCGCTTCTGTTGCTGTATGGTCAAGCTTGAACTCGTAGAAAAAAAGTGTCCAAAATTGTTCCTTATCCATGCTCCTAAAACACTCAATTTTTATTCAAAATAAAGACTGATTGTCAAGTCAAAAAAAAAACATAAAAGAGAAGAACATATATCAATCACAATTAGCTAAAAGTTTAGTATCAATGACGCAAAAGGCATCTTAAAATCAAAGACAAATTTTGAGTCTTGTTTATTTCGATTATTTTCCCACCAACCTAATAGTTAGGTCCTGTTTCGAAAATCGGTGGTAAGTTGAAATAGTTCCCTAGTTAGATGAAAATAACCACTTCAATCAACAAACACTTTAAAAAGCTCTTGGTTTATTGGAATATAATACATCATCGAAATTTGTACAATTTCATTTTGCGCTAGCTAGTGGAAGGCAAGTTAGTTGACGACATTCTGGCATTCGACATTCGGGCATTCGGGCTGCTCGAAGGTGGCATTGATGCGGTCACTGCCATTTCCTAAAGAAGAAAACTGTTGCCATATTTGTTATTGGAAAATCAAGAGTTATTCCAGGGTTATTTAGTTTTTCTGGGCCAGGTCAAATTTACTTTTCTCGTTCTTTTAGTTTTTCAATTTCGAACCTGAAAAGTATAAAATTTTCTGATAACTAGTGATTTTAAGGTAGCTTTTCGACTATGAGCATCCGCTTGAAGCCACTCTTTCTTGAATTTAGCCAATCTTACATGATCTGATTTAGTTTAGTAGTATTTTCTGAATTTTTTGGAACAACTTTGCTCTTGGAAAAGAAGAAGTCCGTAGCTTTTTCGTAGATGTAGTCTTTTTGCTAACAAGAAGAAACAACAACAATCACCTCTTGCTGTGGCCATCCGACAATCCTTTCGGATAACCTGAAAAAAATAGACCCGATGTAACCCCATGTGCATACAGAATACTCATAGCTTCGTTAAGCAATTATAATATAAGGCGGCATACAAGTTTTACTCGAATAATTACTCGCAAGAAGTAAACTCTAATTTTCAAATGTGTGCTTGTGCTTGAGCCAACCAATTGTTCGGCGCCAGGCACTTGACAATTTGTGGCCAATCTCAAAAAGTACATGGCATTGAGGGAAAATACAAAAGCTTTTCGAATAGAATAATGAAGATCCCTCATCGAAAAGACCACAATATTGCAAACAAAATGTGCAAAGAAGCTGTGTTTCGCAAAAGCTTATCCCATTCTCTTTTTGTTCTCAATTTTACACAACTTGTACAGTTTCAAAGAACAATAAAGTGTTTTTCATGCAAAATGTGCTTTCAGTCACATATCAAACTGTGCCCAGTCACTTTTCTCGACACTTTTTAGTCTTTTTAATCAATCCTCGAGTCTTTTTAATCAATCCATCTCGAATCTAAATGTTCTTAAAATCACGAGATGAGCAAAAGAATGTTTAGATGTATACGTAATCAAAGATTCATAAATATTCCAGCTTTTAACCAACAGACATCGAGTGCAAAAACGCTTTTTAGTATAAAATTTGCGGCGGCAATGAGAGCCTGATAAGGCATTCCTTTGTAAGAGGCTGTAAGAGGCTGTAAAAAAAGGCTCGCATGTTTTATGATAAGCCAATCATATAAAACTTGTAAATAGAATCTCTACACTTTTTGGTAGATCGGCGATGAGAGGATTAAGCGTATTACTTCTGGCCGTAACGTTGAGGTCTTCACTTCAACAAAATTGTCCCAAAGGCTCGTTCTTTGTCGATGAGCTTGGTGATTGTATTTATCCAGACAACGATGGTATCTTTTACATAAATGTAAATTACTACAAGTTAGCTAACTTTATGATGTCCACTAATCCACTAATCCATTCAATTTCTCCAATGGCGTACGCAGAGATGTACTGCCAGGCTCTTGGAGGTCATCTGCTCTCTCTAGCAAATGTTTTCAACAATGCCCTGATCACCGGAATTCAGTTGACAAGTCGACAATTTGACTTGGGTCTTGTATTTCATGATTTCCTTTTAGCGCTCGATGGAACAAATGGATGGTTGGGTGGTCGAAGGGCACAAAACGGGAGCTGGTATTGGAGCGACGGCACCCCATTCACCTATGCAAAATGGGCACCAGGTAATCGGTTTCGTGCTTTTATTGCAATACTTAGATATCTTTTATAAAATTACCTATAACAAAAGAACTTTAGGGCAACCATCTACCGGTGATTGCATCTACATGAACTCGGATGACAAAAATTGGCGAACGATTGACTGTACAGCCAATCTACCGTATCTCTGTCAATTGCCAACTGTGATAACTCCAAATTGTGACGTCACACAAACACGTATGACTTGTAGGGAAACATACTAATAGAGAGATTTTAGCTATTGCCTGCCCTGCTGGATCGAGGTACATCCAGGAGCTGAACTCATGCCTTCATGCGGATAATAACCGTTTGTATTCGATCATAGTATAGCTCGCTTTTTTTATGTGATCTTGAAGAAGTCGATTTAGTTGTTTCCGCTTTGTTGGCAGAGAAGTATTGCAAGGCGTTTGACGGACATCTTTTCTCAATTCACGACGGAGATACGGACAACTTTTTGACCGGAATTTCGTATACATGTAGACAAATTTATGTTTATCAAAAAAAGGACTTGATTTAGTAATAAACGGCGATCAGTTCTACATCGGAGCAAAGAAAAATGCGAGCACTTATGCGTGGACTGATGGGACAGCGTTTGACTACACGAATTGGAAGAATGGTAATACTAGGCCGATTTCTGTTAAAATTGAGCCAAACCGATGGGTCTATCCCAAAACAGCGCCGACCAAAGTAGCGCCACCCAAAGTAGCGCCACCCAAAGTAGCGCCGACCAAAACAGCGCCACCCAAAGTAGCGCCGTACCCAAAACAGCGCCGTACCCAAAACAGCGCCGTACCCAAAACAGCGCCGTACCCAAAACAGCGCCGTACCCAAAGTAGCGCCAATGAAAAAACGCCCAAAACAGCGCCGATGCAAAACAAAGTTTTTTTTCTTTTACAATATACAATTCATTTTTTTAAATTAACAGCTTTTAATTTTGATAATTTATTTAAAAATAACATCCAACAACAATAAACGACCAACAACACGATAACAATTAAACGATGCATAAAAAACATCAAAATAGCATCAAATTAGTAGTCCAAGAGACTCTGAAACACCATAACACTAGCGATGATGAACATAAACGGCTAGAGCTTTCAAGTGATCCGTAGTAGAAATAAAAAGTTAGTGAAAACGTTAAAAAACAGGCCCTAAAAGGAAAAAAAAATTGTTATTTTTGGTTAAAATCACTTTAATAAACGCTATCGCAGGTTTCTATGCGTAAAGCTTAAAAAAAATCGGATTCTCCGCCTTTTTTTTACCCTAAAAACACAAAAAGTGGACAGAAAAAGTTAAAAACAGCAAAGAAAAAGCAAAAGCAAAAATCTAAAAACTAGTTTTTTTGCTCGTCGCTGTTTTGGGCGTTTTTGCATTGGCGCTGTTTTGGCGGCGCTGTTTTGGTCGGCGCTGTTTTGGGATAGCCCCGAACCGATTTCTAGTTATAAGCTGTTTAACTACATAAATTAACTACATATAGATTCCGAGTTGGCCATTTTTATCATTTAGGTGAACCACAGCTAGAGTGTGTGGTGATTCAACGGGAATCAGCTGCTTGGGTGACCGTCAACTGTGCCAATCAACTACCATTTATGTGAGTTGCAAGGCAAACTCAGAGAAGCCAAGTCATTTAGGTGCAACATACCTCCAATTGTAAATGGTGGCTGCACGTATCCACCAATGATCACCATGGAAACCACAGCATCATTGGCTAGCAGCAGTACCCCTACAATGATACCACTCAACTGCCTTCCAGGTAGAGCCTTTTTCCTTCCTCAACTCAACTTTATTTAAGCTGCTCAGCAACAGCTTTACAACTGTCAAAAGGGGTGGCAGTACTTTCCAGCAACTGGATTCTACTACTTGGTCGGTTAAATGACTTCAATCATAGCAGCTCTTTTGATTTCAGGTCTTCTTCGATAGCTCCTACTCACAGGGTGAAGCCTATTGTGTCAGTCAGGGCGGGCATCTAGCCTCTGTGCACAGCGAAGCCGAAGACGATTTCATCTCAAGTGGCCCTTTAATGTAAAGGCTTATCTTAACGATTCATAGATCTTTGCTGTGACTCGGATTGCTCTTTTCGTAAAGATGGAGACGGCTGGAGTGCTGCGGGACTCTTTATGATTGGCGCCCAAAAAGTAATCCCATAAAAGGGTTCAAAATGCAAAGCAAAGAAAGCAAAGATCATATAGGTAAACGGAGCCTGGTCTTGGCTTGATGGCACTCCATGGGACTATCAAAAGCCCATCTGTGAATCGGGAGACGCTCGCTTCATTTTGGTGAGTGGATTTTGGTTGATTTTTTTTGTTGATTATTTTTGGTTAGAGTTCTTGCTTTTAAACGGTCTACACAGCCCAAAGATATAACTTTTCAAAATTATAAACTGTTGATGATATATTCAGATTGATGATGACAACTGCACTGGGGATGATTGTGTAGATTATGATTGGGTGACTGCAGGTTCGGCCGACGGAGTCGAAGTCCCGTATTTTGTGTGCAAACGAAATTTTTATTCGTAAAAGGAAAATTGTGCTAGATTGCTAATAAAAATATGGACAAAAGACGTTTAATCATTTACCGCAACGCTGCAGCCAGGAGCAGCATAATGCACAGAAACGGCAGAAACTCAATTCTAGCAATATTGTTTTGTAACAAGAATTATGAGTGGGTTTTCCTATTATATTGTCTTATCACGAAACATTCAAGACTTTTCCGGTGGCAAAAAATGTCTTATCAAGCGCTCTTTTCTCTGAAAGTATGGACTAAAAAGCGGTTTTGTGCTCAATTGCTAAAAGTGGGGTGCAGATCGCGGTCAGTCTTAAAAAAAAAATTTTTTTTACGGCAACTCTAGGTTTTTATTTTATAAAACATTACGTTTAATTATAAAAACACCCGGCTACAATCCTTTTTCTTGTGGCCCGGTTCTCCACATCGAAAGCATATTGTCGGCATCTAAATGAAACAAACTATTAGGTTGATGCATAAGTGTTTTTGTTCCTTTTCGTCTGCCGTTTCAAGCCAACAAATGCACGAATTAAACTACGGTTGATTTCATTAGAAAAAGCAATTATTTTTCTGCAAAATAACATTAAAACGGGTTTAAAAATATTTAATGCCTGGATTTTCTTGAGAGTATGAAGTCGGGTAGTCAAAAAGGGCTAACTCGATGATGCGGTTTAGACACCTTAGCTAAAGAAAACCTATCTTCGTGTCAATAGATAAAAGATAGAGAAAAAAAACGTTTGATATTTCGCCAAAATTTCAGAGAAATTCATTCAGCCAATTTTTCCGTAGAGTTTTTTATAGATTTTTACGAAAAAGGCGTTTTTCACTCTCGAATTTGCTTCAAAGTGAACCGAAATTCATTTAAAAAGATGCTAATTGAACAAAAAAACACTTTTTTTATAGAGCAAACTATAGATTAATTCGTGAATTTGTTACTTTTTAACAGAAGTACGAAAAAAACGAAAAGACTTATGCATCAACCTATTATTTTAGAGAAATGAAAAACTGCAAACAAAAAACACGGCAATACACAATTTCAATCGGCTAACGCATAGACTTTGACAAAAGTGCCTGACCTCTACATTTCCCTACCCAGGTACAATAGTGCAATAGTTTTGAGGTGGCTAATTTGGGCCAAATTTTCCCGGCAACTGGGCCTTTGGAGCGACTTTTGTTAACTGCAAAAGTATGAAAAGACGAATGAAAATGGAAGAAGTTTGATGAATCGACGAAATAAGGAGGCCGGCTAGCGAAACAACAGTTAGCCCTTATCCAGAAAAATGAAGACGAATAAAAGAATCACAATCGATTCTTACCCAAAAATGTAGAACCAAACAAAATAAAATGGCACAAAATGGCACAGACTACGGGACTTTTCTAGTGACAATCTAGACAGACGTGAAATGTGCACTTTAGAAAATGACAATTTTGTAGGGAGTATAAAAGGTTATCTTCCCAACAACAAGTCAAAGAATTGCACTTTACGCCAAATTTTTTGCGCAACTCGCCACTTTCTTCTAAGTGGGCTAATCTTTATGATTTTAGTGTCATTTTGTAGATCTAAACAAGTGCAACAAAATGACACTAAAATCATAATGATTGGCCCATTTAGAAGAAAGTTATGGCGAATTGCGCAAAAATTTTTGCGCATGGGTGTTGATCACCTTTATTCTCCTACAGTTTATCCTAGGTTTGAAATCATTTTTAACTTTGACCCAAAGTAAGTACTAGATATCATTTTAGCACACCTGGAAGTGCCAGATGGTCCTTTTACCATACCTACAACTACCCTATTTTGACTTTACCATTCATATCTTTTTGATACACATACGTGGTAACAAGATCCCCTCGAAACTTCTTCAAAACCCGGTAGCTTTCTTCTCTTTTCTAACACCCAAGGGTTGCGTGGCCTTTGTGTGCCCGCCTTTCTCTTCCCTTTCTTCCCATCATCACAAAGGGAAGGGGATCGAGAGTGAGGCGTGACCGTCTCCAAACATTCTCTACACTCCCCTCCTTCCAAGATTGGACCTCCTTTTCGGGCTCTAAGACTAAGACAATACCATTGAATCATCTCTCTTTCCAACGAATTCTTCCCTCACTTTTCCTTTTCTAGGGTCACCGCACCACGATTTTGACACTTTCGACGGGTCTCTCCATCAAGAGTCCAGACGTTTTTTGAGCCTTATTGATTTCAAGCTTTTTTTTAAAGCACATTGTTTTTTGAATTTTGGGGTTGATACCTGATTAATAGATTTATACTAACGATTGAAATCTGAGATTAACTTAGATGGTAATCGTTGCAGTGCTATGTTACCGTAACCATTTAATCTACCGTAAGCTACCTTAGCCTTTTAATCTACCGTAAGCTACCGTAAACTTCTAACTTATCATGAGCCACTGTAACCCTCTATTGAAGATGTCTTTTGGTGACTTTTATTAGCTCGAAAGTCTTGACTACTGCATAGTTTTCACAGATTACGGTAGCTTACTTTCACGGATTACAATAACTTCTCATTGTGTCACTTCTTTTTATCATTTTGCCTCATTGAATACCTTAAAGTCCAATTCTCTCTGAAAGCAACGATTCAAGAGTTCATATGCTCACATATGCAACATTATCTCCTCGTTTTCAGGGCTCCTTGTAGACATTTGTGATTGACACTGGCTGTATTCCGGTTATTCACTCTTCTTTCTCTTCTTGGATTCACCCAAGATTTATTCTTTGGAATTATCTCCAGCCTCTCCTCCTCTTCTTCTTCTTCTTCTTCTTCTTCTTCTTCTCCACCTTTCCCACCCTTTTCTACCGGTCTTGTTGACAAATAGGTACACGTCAATGTGTTTCTCTCACCCATTCACTCTCTTCAAAAACGACCTTCGTTGTGATTAAGCTAATAACTGGTTGCTTTTACCCACCGAAAGAACATCGAGTTTTGAACTATTGTCTGAAATTGTGAAACTGATGAATTTTGATGTTAAGTCAAATGGCTACCCTTGTCAAGTCAATTGGCTTTAAAGGTCAGTTAACTAGCCAAGTAACTAGTTTAGTTCAAGTAACTGGTTACAACCGCTTGGTCAAGAATTCAATAAATGTCTCAAAACCGATTTTTCCAAGACACGCTAGATCTGAAGTTAGTCTTAACCTGTCCTTTGCTGCCTAGTCAGACTGCTGGCCTAGTCAGACTAGACCTGCAGCTAGTCTTCACTTGACTCCTGAACTTGTTTTGCTGCTGTCTGATCTGATCAGATAACGAACTATAGATTACCTTGCAAACCTTTTAACTTCTAACTTCAACAATATGTAAACACTCTTTCCAGATAATCAAAGCTGGTACAATAGGCGGCGGGGTACATCTTCTGTCCGGATCCCTCTCTTGGAGAGCTCCCCTCCACGAGGCCCTTTCTTGTGATTGTTGATAGAAAGACAAGCTCTCCTTGCACACATTGCTTTCCCCTTTTATTCTTTTTGCTTGTTCATTTTCTTCTTGTTCATTCTTCTTGTTCTTCTTTCCCATTTCCACTTGTAAAGCCTCAAGCCTCCGGCCTCCTGTTTCACTCCTAACATTTCTTGCATTTTAGTGTTTATTTTTAGAGCATTTTCTTCTAGAGGCTTCCTGCTTGATTTCTATTGATTTATAATTTGTTTTATTTGGAGATTTTGTAGTTTTGATGGGTACTGATAATGAGGCAAAACTTGAGTGAATCTGTCTAACTGATGGTTCAGATTGTGTATCAGTACTGGAGTTCAATTGTGTCAGTACTGGAGTTAGATTGTGTCAGTACTGGAGTTCGATTGTGTCAGTACTGGAGTTCGATTGTGTCAGTACTGGAGTTAGATTGTGTCAGTACTGAAGTTCGATTGTGTCAGTACTGGAGTTCGATTGTGTATCAGTACTGGAGTTCGATTGTATCAGTACTGGAGTTCGATTGTATCAGTACTGGAGTTCGATTGTATCAGTACTGGAGTTCGATTGTATCAGTACTGGAGTTCGATTGTGTCAGATTGTGTATCAGTACTGTACTGTAGTATACTGTAGAAGGAATACTTTAGTACTAAAGTATCCCTTCTACAGTATACTTCACCTAATCCTTCCCCAATTATTCTATAGCTAAACCAAAGTTAAACCAAGTTATCAAACGAACTTGCGGATTTACAATCTCAAACTCAAAAGTTCATCTCACTCCGACTTATCTAATTCCAATCAGATCAAAAAGTTTAGCCAACTTTTGAGCTTTTCAGCCAACTTCAATTCTTTTCCATCAAAAGATCTCTTCTATTGTCTTACTTTTTTTAAAAATCAGCCTCTCATTTCACTCAATTTCCCCCCGCAAACTCCTTTCATCCCGTTCCCTTCAATCATCCCTCAAAAAATGTGTCGATAGCTTTGTTGTTTGCCTCTCTAAACGGTCAAGCAAAATTTCCCTCTAAATTTCTCAAAAAGTTTCTCCATGCTGAGAAAATAATCACATTTCACGCCTCGTTTCTCACCGAAACACTCAGTATCAATTCAAAATTTTTTCTCTTTTCTCCACCTACTAGAAACTGGGTGAAGAAAAGGCATTTCGGTGAACAATGGCATCAAGAAATTCGGAGAGAAAACCAAGAGTTCTCTCTTTTTTTCCATTCTATTAGAAAAATACCCCGGTTTTTGATTTTTTCGAGTTCAAATTTTATTGACAACTCGAAAAGCTTTTCTTGACTTTGTGTTTGTTTGGGTTTTGTGGGAAAGGGCTTATAGTAGAAAGGGTAACTGTGTCAAACTAGGCCCAAAGCCATTCCTGACCTGGCAATAGCTAGTGCTTACTATTCAGAAATGTTTTAAAAATCGTTTTTTCAGAGTAAGGCCAGTACAGACTTGTCTCTACTTCAGGGGCTAATCGAGTTAACTGTGTCAAACTAGGCCTAAAGTCATTCCTGATCTGGCTTCATTGCGCAATAGCTAGTTCTTACTATTCAGAAATCCAGTACTGAAGCCTAAGCCACTTAAGCCTAACCTGGCTTAGATCTGCTGCA